GCTCTGAACTTTCTCCTAAACCAGGAGCTAATGTCACCAGTCAACCACTTCAACTTTTGCTAAGGTTTAACTCTCACTTGATGACCTTCTACTACAAAGAAACAAAGTCTTTTTTTTTTTTTTTTTAAATAGCTTACTGAGAAATTACTGCCTCCATAACACAAGTAAGAAAAACTACGGATGCTCAGGGCTTCACATGCTGGCAAGTTGCTAGACTCAGTGCTAGGCCAGGTGGTTCATCCTACATCAGCCAATCCATGTTTCAACAGATTCTTAAAGGATTATGTATCATTGACCTTCAGAGTCTCCTGCAAGCACTGTGCTAAGTCCACGAAGGTCAAGGCACTCCTCAATCTCCGAGCCGCACAGTCACCCCCTTGGCTATCTCCTCCATCCCGCAGGTGTGGCTGTCACCCCATGTACACAGTGTGTCATCTGTGGTCTTGGGCTCCGTCCTCTGAGCCATATGTCATCTGCTGGTCCTTCAAATACACCCAAATATTAACTGATCATTCTCCACCTTCCCAGCCTCCTCCCTCCACCTCCTCCCCCTGGGTTTTTGACTCCTGTCATGATGTGACTAAGTGCTCTCCCAGGGCACCAGCTGGAACCATTAGGACGATCGTTTACTCTTCTCTACTGCCTGCCCCTAAGTTACACGCTCCTCGAGGGAAGGTCTGAGCCATGTGCAGTCACGTCACCCATGACAAGGACAGGCTCCTGCAGACACAGAGTAGATGCTAGAAACACACTTGTCAAGTTAACTGGTTAGCGCCATACCCGTGATGAAGTGGAGCACCTCTCAGCCTCATCTGGTCTAGTTCAGCCCTCAACGCTTCAATGCTTAGTACCAGTTGATCCTACAAGACAGCAAACGACAGACATTGCAGCCACCTCTGTCAGGTTTTCAAATCATTTGCATCAACCTTAACAGGTTAAATTAACAGTTATAATACCAAATATTTTAATTCTGGGAAAGTTTTCTGCCAGAGTCCTAAAATAAACATAAGGACTCAGACCACCAAATTAACTACGTAAACCACAGTGAACAAAGAGCTGTATCTTAGTCATGGGAAAGGTTCTGGAGAATACATACCAAACCGTTAACAATTACTGATTTTATAGAGGAGACGAGAATGTTTCTGGGGTGGATGTATGCATGTAAACACAATATCCACTTTTCTACTGTTTGTGTGTCCCTGACTGTCTTAAACAGTCTCCCATCAAACATGCTTTCACCCATGTGGCCTCCGCATGCCTGATCTCATTTCTGTACGTGGCCAAACAAGCGGAACACAAAATGCTTTTCTTTCTAAGTCACCAGATAGCCTCCTAGACCTGCGTTGTCCACTTGAGTCGCCAAGCACACGTGTGGCCACTGAGCGCTGAAATGGGGCCAGTCCTGAGACATGCT